AGACGGGACATCCTTGCCGGTCCGGCTGCCGGCTCAGCGGCCACGGGCTCCGTGTGAATTTGCCGCGTCCTGGTTCATCGCAGCGCTTTGGGCTGAAGCTGGCAGACTGGCCTTTGCTGTGTCTTTCTTCTCTTCTCCCCTCTGCTGGGGAACTGTTGTAACTCTCGCCTCGCCGGGGATTTATACAGAACCGTGGAAAAGAGAGAGAAGAGACGAAGGCAGGGCTCGGTCTGAGAGGCGAAGCCCAGTCCTGGGACCTGTTCCTCAGTGCCACGGCTCAAGCCCAGGAGACGTGGGCAGAAAGATCGAGATGGGTAGCCGTGTTGGCCAGTCTGTAGCAGTAGAAAAGACTCCAGTAGCACCTTAAAAAGTAAAGGTAAAGGTTCACCTTGCTCAAAAGCCAGTCGAGTCCGACTCTAGGGTTGCGGTGCTCATCTCTGTTTTCAAGCCGAAGTGCCAGCGCTGTCCGAAGATGTTTCCGTGTTCATGTGGCAGGCATGACTAAACACCAAGGCGCACGGAACGCTGTTCCCTTCCCACCAAAGTGGTACCTATTTATCTACTTGCAATTTCTTGCTTTCGAACTGCTAGGAGGGCAGGAGCTGGAACTAGAGACGGGAGCTCACTCCGTCATGTGGCACACTCGGGGGTCTCGAACTGCTGAACGACCGACCTTCCACAGCCCGCAGTTCAGCGTCTTAACCACTTGAGCCACCACAGCACCTTAAAGACTAGCAACATTTGCAGCAGGGGAGGAGCTTTCGGGAGTCACTGCTCACTCCTTCAGATGCAGCTAGACTGGCCCATAGCTAACACGGGGCCCACGGGGCCTGGCCCCCTAGTGTTTCTTCTCGGCCCCCTGCCTCCCGGGCTGCCCCCAAAGTGCTCCAACTTACCACCTGCACTGTACTTTCATTTAATTAGCTGCCCCCCCCGAGGCCCCCTCCCGAAGAATTCCCTAGCTACGAGGCCGTAGCTAGAATGTGAGGCCATGGTCACATGGTCATTTTGATCGGGTTTCACCGCTGTTCCCTCTTGCATTTAAAATTGCCGATCAGACGCCCGCATCCATCTCCCACTCCCTCCCAGTTCCCTAGCGAGTTCTCCTACACCCGTGATTTCGCTGATCTGGACGGCCATCTCTCGCAATGATTGCGATTAGGTCATTGGAACGTCCTTCTCGCGATGTGGGTTTTTTTTAACAAGCTTCCGTCGTCTTGCGCATGAGCAATCCTGCGCTGGATAAATTCAATGTATAAATGTTCAAGTGCACGTATAGACTCCAGCGCTCAGTTGTACGTTGCCGGATAATTCTGTTTGCTGTTGGGAGGGGGGGGGCCTGCGAGAACAAGGGAGTACAGCGAGTCGCAGTGGGAGCGGTGATTTGGCCATGTGTATCTGCGCATGTGCAAAGCCAATTTTTTTTTAAAAAAAACAAGCCGTGCCGCCCAAGTCTATCTGGACAGTGCCTGGAGCCTCATTGCATGACGCAAGTGGTTCAGGGAGGGAGGTGTGGTCATCCCAACCCAAAAAGAAATATTCCCCATCAAATCTATTGTGGGAACAAATTGAGATAAGCTTGCCACGTGACCACAGCCTGAGTCCATCTGCCCCATATATTGGAAAGTGGAATGATTTCAGATGCCAAATGACATTAGCAGGTGAACGACAAGAGCGATTGGATTAGGTGTGATACGCAGAGAGGCAGTATGGAGAAATCAGCACTGGAAATGAGACAGGGAACCTAGGTCTCGATTCAGTCCAGGCTTCGTTATCAATTTCAATTCGGCAGTCTCTCAGCAGTCTTTTGTGGGCAGAAAAGAGTGCCTCTAAGCATGCACAGAGCGCATGTTCCATCTCTGGCAAGCAGCCACAGCTTGCACTGACATAGCCGGTGGGAGAGAAAGTTCTCCTGGAGGCCTCAACTCCCGCGCAGGAGAGCTGCCTCACAAATGGCCTATTGACATTTAATGACAGCAGTTGAGCTCCTGTCTAAGCGTCTCTACATTTTTTCTTTCTCCCAGCAAGCTTGCTGGGAGGGCAGGGATTCGAACCCAGGTCTTTCTGTGACTAGCTCAGCATCCTAATCCCTGCACCACAGTGGCACGCCATTCTGCCGCCTCAGGTAAGTTTGAACTGAACCTCGTTCCAACCAATCAATCATGATTGAGTCACGGATCTGCAGAATAAAACATGTTATTAACACGGAGGGAAGGAAACACAGTCTTGACACCAACGTCTGCTTGGCCAGTCTCAGGTTTGTAGAGGCCAGGCGGCAACGGAACACATGCAGGTGCCTGACACTAAATCCGGCCCTTGATCCATCGAGGTCAGTAATGTCTGCGGCTCTCCAGGGTCTCAGGCAGAGGTCTTTGGCATCATCCACTTCTTGATTTTTAATAGGAGATGCCGGGGACTGAACCTGGGACCTTCTGCCTGCCAAGCAGAGGCTCTGCCACTGAGCTACAGCCGCACTTCATGGTTCTTCGGGGTCTCAGGCGGAGGTCATTCATATCACCTCCTGCCTGGTCCTTTCTAACTGGAGATGCCGGGGACTGAACCTGGGACCTTCTGCATGCCAAGCAGATGCTCTACCACTGAGCCGCAGCCCCACTTCATGGCACTCCAAGGTTTCACGTAGAGGTCTTTCACATCCCCTCCTGCCAGCTCTTTTAAGTGGAGATGCCGGGGACTGAACTTGGGACCTTCGACATGCCAAGCAGACACTCTACCACTGAGCCACGGCCCCTCCCGAAGCTCTTGAGATTGCGCACACAGAAGGATTTGGCTAGCTGTCTCACTCTTGGCCTGGCCCAAGGGTTTCATGTCCCAAGAACCCTTATACCACCTTATACCTCCTTGTACCACCTACCTCCCAGGGTGTCTGTTGTGGGGAGGGGAAGGGAAAGGAGCTTGTAAGCCGCTCTGAGACTCCTTTGAGTAGTGAAGGGCAGGGTATAAATCCAATCTCTTCTTCTTCTTCTTTTACCCCACAGGGTGTCTGTTGTGGGGAGGGGAAGGGAAAGGAGCTTGTAAGCCGCTCTGAGACTCCTTTGAGTAGTGAAGGGCAGGGTATAAATCCAATCTCTTCTTCTTCTTCTTTTACCCCACAGGGTGTCTGTTGTGGGGAGGGGAAGGGAAAGGAGCTTGTAAGCCGCTCTGAGACTCCTTTGAGTAGTGAAGGGCAGGGTATAAATCCAATCTCTTCTTCTTCTTCTTTTACCCCACAGGGTGTCTGTTGTGGGGAGGGGAAGGGAAAGGAGCTTGTAAGCCGCTCTGAGACTCCTTTGAGTAGTGAAGGGCAGGGTATAAATCCAATCTCTTCTTCTTCTTCTTTTACCCCACAGGGTGTCTGTTGTGGGGAGGGGAAGGGAAAGGAGCTTGTAAGCCGCTCTGAGACTCCTTTGAGTAGTGAAGGGCAGGGTATAAATCCAATCTCTTCTTCTTCTTCTTTTACCCCACAGGGTGTCTGTTGTGGGGAGGGGAAGGGAAAGGAGCTTGTAAGCCGCTCTGAGACTCCTTTGAGTAGTGAAGGGCAGGGTATAAATCCAATCTCTTCTTCTTCTTCTTTTACCCCACAGGGTGTCTGTTGTGGGGAGGGGAAGGGAAAGGAGCTTGTAAGCCGCTCTGAGACTCCTTTGAGTAGTGAAGGGCAGGGTATAAATCCAATCTCTTCTTCTTCTTCTTTTACCCCACAGGGTGTCTGTTGTGGGGAGGGGAAGGGAAAGGAGCTTGTAAGCCGCTCTGAGACTCCTTTGAGTAGTGAAGGGCAGGGTATAAATCCAATCTCTTCTTCTTCTTCTTTTACCCCACAGGGTGTCTGTTGTGGGGAGGGGAAGGGAAAGGAGCTTGTAAGCCGCTCTGAGACTCCTTTGAGTAGTGAAGGGCAGGGTATAAATCCAATCTCTTCTTCTTCTTCTTTTACCCCACAGGGTGTCTGTTGTGGGGAGGGGAAGGGAAAGGAGCTTGTAAGCCGCTCTGAGACTCCTTTGAGTAGTGAAGGGCAGGGTATAAATCCAATCTCTTCTTCTTCTTCTTTTACCCCACAGGGTGTCTGTTGTGGGGAGGGGAAGGGAAAGGAGCTTGTAAGCCGCTCTGAGACTCCTTTGAGTAGTGAAGGGCAGGGTATAAATCCAATCTCTTCTTCTTCTTCTTTTACCCCACAGGGTGTCTGTTGTGGGGAGGGGAAGGGAAAGGAGCTTGTAAGCCGCTCTGAGACTCCTTTGAGTAGTGAAGGGCAGGGTATAAATCCAATCTCTTCTTCTTCTTCTTTTACCCCACAGGGTGTCTGTTGTGGGGAGGGGAAGGGAAAGGAGCTTGTAAGCCGCTCTGAGACTCCTTTGAGTAGTGAAGGGCAGGGTATAAATCCAATCTCTTCTTCTTCTTCTTTTACCCCACAGGGTGTCTGTTGTGGGGAGGGGAAGGGAAAGGAGCTTGTAAGCCGCTCTGAGACTCCTTTGAGTAGTGAAGGGCAGGGTATAAATCCAATCTCTTCTTCTTCTTCTTTTACCCCACAGGGTGTCTGTTGTGGGGAGGGGAAGGGAAAGGAGCTTGTAAGCCGCTCTGAGACTCCTTTGAGTAGTGAAGGGCAGGGTATAAATCCAATCTCTTCTTCTTCTTCTTTTACCCCACAGGGTGTCTGTTGTGGGGAGGGGAAGGGAAAGGAGCTTGTAAGCCGCTCTGAGACTCCTTTGAGTAGTGAAGGGCAGGGTATAAATCCAATCTCTTCTCCTCTTCTTCTTTTCTACATCTTAAAAAAAATTATACTGCCCCCGCCCTGGGAGTTCATTGCCCTTTCAAACAACCCAGCCCCTTTTTCGATTTTCTCCCATAAATCTTCTCCCTGCCAAACGCTCTTCTGCTTTTGCTCTCCCCGCCTGACACAAGACCAGGTAATGTTAATGACCAGGGGGGCGAATGAACCATTTGGGCCCTAGAAAGACCAGTTACACCTGTTCCATAAATATAACAGGAGCGCTGCAGTGCGGAGATGTCCCGGGAACAGACAAGAGACCGTAAGTTAAGGAAAAGAAAAAGTTTATTTACAACAAGGATCACCGTGCACGGCTCCACACGGCCACCGGCACCCCCTATTCTGGAGAGAAGCTGGGGAAAGCGCTTTCAGGAATGTTTGGAAAGAGATCGCAGGGAATTGTGAGCCAGAAGAGAGACCCCCACAAAAGTGCTGGGGAATAATTGCCACTCAGCACAGCGGTCGCGCTTGGTTAAGCCAGGGAACGGTCTGGCTGGGTAGGGCGGGCAGCCTTTTAGCACTGTTGAGAGGTCAGGTCAACAGTAACCAGGCTGTGACATTTCAGACTAAATTTTCACTGGCTCAGCTCACTTTGGGCGCCTGCCCCGGCAGGGAAGAAAAACCAAATGAAGGAAAGCAACAAATTGCCTTTTTCGATCACCACCAGCGCCTCTATTATCTCCTAAGGGCAGCGCTGAGGTTTTCCCTGACTCCGCTGAAGCTGCACCCAGAGGTCGACCTTCCCCTCCAAGGAGCATCAAATCAGTGGCCCAAAAGCATCTGCCCCCCCTCCATGTTGGAGAAGAGCGTGGGAGAGGCAAGGGGAACGACTCCGAACAGAAAACCTGTCTTCTTCCAGCTCAGCTGGGATCGGAGGGAAGGCAGGCCGCCCGCCCGGGTGGAACAGCATCGCTCTGCTCTCAAGGCTGCGGCCTGTTTCGTCAGGATCAGGACCGACGGGGAGTCAGAATCAGGACAGGAAAGGGGCACTCTAATGCCCAACAAATCCTCCCACGCTCTTCTCTTAAGGCAAAGTGGCGTATAATGTGGGTCGAGAGGGCTGCGCACACTCTCTCGCACCTGGTGCGCTGTGGACTCCACACTCGGGGGGGTCCTAAGCCGTGCCGCGGGAGAAAAACGCTCCACTTCAGTAAGACATGCCGTGCGTGAACGTGCGTGGGAAATGTGACAAACCCACCATTCCCACACCCCTGAAAGATCTCTGCATTTCAGACCCGCAATCGAGTGTAGAAAAAGTTAGGCAGGGTGCTGGTATTATTCAGAGGGGAGGAAACCCTCTGCGATTTCGGACTTGTCCTCGGCCGCTGCGGGCGTGCTGCTGAGCTCGGTCGGAGGGCCTGGGCGAGCCGGTCTCCTCGCCGCCTCCCGCCTCTGTGGGGGTCTACGTCCTCGTCTCGAGCTTGTTCATGTACTCCTGCAAGGCCTGGAGCCGGGCGTCGATCTCGGAGAGGTCAGCTGACGGCTCGTCATACATGTTTTCTGTTGGGCGAAACAGCCGTGTTACGACACGTGGAACCCAGGAGGGCTGGGGGAGCCATCCTACGAGTGGGGCCTGGAGATTTCCTAGAATTATAACCAGGGGTCATTTCCTGCGGGAGCGCACAGGAGCAGGGCTCCGGCAGTAAGGAGCCCAGGGGGCGGGCACATGCAACAGGCCCCACCCCCTGCTCCTAGCAATCCTCAGTCAGAGCAAGAAGCAGCCAGGTAAGTTGCAGAGCCCCCCCCCCCCCCGGCCCGCCTTCAGGTAAAAGCTCTCCCTCCTCTGTGAGGGCAGATTTGCGCGTTCCCCCCCATAGCTAGCAATCCAAAACAGACCAAGCTGTGAGCGAGCGATTTGGCTGCTGCATGAGTTGGTTTGCTCTGGAGCCCTCCTTCCTGAGCTGAGACAAAAATGTGCGAGCCGGAGGCTAAAAAACTGTGAGTTAGCTTACACTCACTCAGCTTAGAGGGAACACTGATCACAACTGATCTCCAGACGGCACAGACCGGTTGCCCTGGAGAAAACGGCTGCATGGGAGGATGGATTCCATGGGACTGTAAACCCACTGAGCCTCCCTCCCCTTCCAAACCCCCCACCCTCCTCAGGCTCTGCCTCCACAATCCCCAACCTGGAGTTGGCAACCTTACAGGAAGCGGGGGGAGGGGGGGTTCTCGGAATGTCCTGCCGGGGAGCCCAAGCACAGTGCCCTGCAGCAACCAGGCAGCGAGACTGGCTGTGGGTGTGCCACGGCCCATCCTGCAACAAAGATGGGAGGTGAGAACCAGAGAATATAAGAGAAGCCATGTTGGATCAGGCCAAATGGCCCATCCGGTCCAACACTCTGGGTCACACGGTGGCCAAAACCCAGGGGCCATCAGGAGGTCCAGCAGTGGGGCCAGGACACTAGAAGCCCTCCCACTGTTGAACCCCCCCAAGCACCAAGAAGACAGAGCATCACTGCCCCAGATATAAGAACATAAGAGCAGCCATGTTGGATCAGGCCAATGGCCCATCCAGCCCAACACTGTGTCACATAGTGGCCAAACATGAGGTGCCATCAGGAGATCCACCAGTGGGGCCAGAACTCCAGAAGCCCTCCCACTGTTGCCCCCACAAGCACCAAGAAGACAGAGCATCACTGCCCCAGACATAAGAACACAAGGGAAGCCATGTTGGATCAGGCCAAATGGCCCATCTGGTCCAACACTTTGGGTCACAATGTGGCCAAAACCCAGGGGCCATCAGGAGGTCTACCAGCGGGGCCAGAACTCCAGAAGCCCTCCCACGGTTGCCCCCCAAGCACCAAGAAGACAGAGCATCACTGCCCCAGACATAAGAACAGAAGATAAGCCATGTTGGATCAGGCCAATGGCCCATCCAGTCCAATGTTCTCTGTCACATAGTGGCCAAAACCCAGGGGCCATCGGGAGGTCCACCTGCGGGGCCAGAACTCCAGAAGCCCTCCCATGGTTGCCCCCACAAGCACCAAGAAGACAGAGCATCACTGCCCCAGACATAAGAACAGAAGCCGTGTTGGATCAGGCCAAATGGCTCATCCGGCCCAACGCTCTGTGTCACACAGTGGCCAAAACCCAGGGGCCATCAGGAGGTCCACCAGCAGGGCCTGAACTCCAGAAGCCTTCCCACTGTTGCCCCTCAAGCTCCAAGAAGACAGAGCATCCCTGCCCCAGACATAAGAACATAAGGGAAGCCATGTTGGATCAGGCCAATGGCCCATCCAGCCCAACACTGTGTCACATAGTGGCCAAACATGAGGTGCCATCAGGAGATCCACCAGTGGGGCCAGACCTCCAGAAGCCCCCCCACTGTTGCCCCCACAAGCACCAAGAAGACAGAGCATCACTGCCCCAGACATAAGAACACAAGGGAAGCCATGTTGGATCAGGCCAAATGGCCCATCTGGTCCAACACTTTGGGTCACAATGTGGCCAAAACCCAGGGGCCATCAGGAGGTCTACCAGCGGGGCCAGAACTCCAGAAGCCCTCCCACGGTTGCCCCCCAAGCACCAAGAAGACAGAGCATCACTGCCCCAGACATAAGAACAGAAGATAAGCCATGTTGGATCAGGCCAATGGCCCATCAAGCTGTGAGCGAGCGATTTGGCTGCTGCATGAGTTGGTTTGCTCTGGAGCCCTCCTTCCTGAGCTGAGACAAAAATGTGCGAGCCGGAGGCTAAAAAACTGTGAGTTAGCTTACACTCACTCAGCTTAGAGGGAACACTGATCACAAATGATCTCCAGACGGCACAGACCGGTTGCCCTGGAGAAAACGGCTGCATGGGAGGATGGATTCCATGGGACTGTAAACCCACTGAGCCTCCCTCCCCTTCCAAACCCCCCACCCTCCTCAGGCTCTGCCTCCACAATCCCCAACCTGGAGTTGGCAACCTTACAGGAAGCGGGGGGAGGGGGGGTTCTCGGAATGTCCTGCCGGGGAGCCCAAGCACAGTGCCCTGCAGCAACCAGGCAGCGAGACTGGCTGTGGGTGTGCCACGGCCCATCCTGCAACAAAGATGGGAGGTGAGAACCAGAGAATATAAGAGAAGCCATGTTGGATCAGGCCAAATGGCCCATCCGGTCCAACACTCTGGGTCACACGGTGGCCAAAACCCAGGGGCCATCAGGAGGTCCAGCAGTGGGGCCAGGACACTAGAAGCCCTCCCACTGTTGAACCCCCCCAAGCACCAAGAAGACAGAGCATCACTGCCCCAGACATAAGAACAGAAGCCGTGTTGGATCAGGCCAAATGGCTCATCCGGCCCAACGCTCTGGGTCACACAGTGGCCAAAACCCAGGGGCCATTGGGAGGTCGACCAGCGGGGCCAGAACTCCAGAAGCCCTCCCAATGTTGCCCCCCCAAGCACCAAGAAGACAGAGCATCACTGCCCCAGACATAAGAACATAAGAGAAGCCATGTTGGATCAGGCCAATGGCCCATCCAGTCCAACGTTCTCTGTCACATAGTGGCCAAAAACCAGGGGCCATCGGGAGGTCCACCAGCGGGGCCAGAACCCCAGAAGCCCTCCCACTGTGCCCCCCCCCAAACACCAAGAAGACAGAGCATTACCGCCCCAGACAGTGTTCCCTCTATACCTTGTGGCTAACAGCCACTGAGGGACCTCTGCTCCATAGGTTGATCCAATCCCCTTTTGACGCTGTCTATGCTTGTGGCACCAATACCAAGGTTCAGCAACCCGGACTCTCTTCCCACAGTGCCTCGCCCCAAGGAATTCGCCCAGCACAGTCATGCTCTGCTTGTAAAGTCGTACCTCCTGGGCCTGGGACCTCCTCTTCGCTTGGAGGTGGGCTTCCGCCAGATTTTTTTTAAAAAACTGCTGCAGGGCCCGGCATGGAAACGAAAAAGCGCTTCCCCATTTTATCCTCACAACAGCCCTGTGAGGCAGGGTGAGGCTGACAGAGAGACTGGCCCGAGCTCACCCTGCAAGCTTCATGGCAGAGTGAGGATTTGAACCAGGGTCTCTCAGCTCGTCTGACAGTCTAACTGCACTGGGGGTCCCCCACCCCGCAAGCTCTGCAGGCTCCCCCACCCCACGAGCACCACCCGAGGGCCCGAAGGGTTACCTTTGTCCCCGCGCTTGCCTCCGGTCGGGGTGCTCACCAAGGGCTTCCTGTGGCCGCTGTCTGCTCGAGGAGCCTGCCCGGAGAACGAGAGTCGTCCCTTATTTCTTTATTTAGTGTCTCAACTGCTTCCATCAGTTAGAAAGAATACTCCAAGGCGGTTTTACGAGAGAGGTTAGAAACGAGCCACGGGTAAAATCCGCACACAGGTGACAAAACCGTTTTTGGCGGCCATGCAAATGTCGGAGAAGACCGACAAAGTCTAATTCTGGTATATAACCTTTTGTGAGTGTGCATCCAAAAGCTTATCGCTTTTGGTGTTAAAGGAGCCGCCGGACTCAAACGTTGATCTGTTGCTTTGAAACCAACACCTGAATCTAGCTGAAGAAGAAGAAGAGGAAGAGGAGGAGATTGGATTTATCCGCCGCCCTTCACTACCCGAAGGAGTCTCAGAGCGGCTCACAAACTCCTTTCCCTTCCCCTCCCCACAACAGACACCCTGTGAGGTAGGCAGGGCTGCGAGAGCTCTCTCGAGAACTGCTCCGGAGAGAACAGCTCTGAAAGAACTTATCAACTAAAAACCAACGGGGTGAGTGACATCAAATGAAAGCCAGAAGCTGAAAAGCCACCAATTTTCGAAAGCGTCACAAGGAACTTCGCGAGCCGACATTAAAAGCTCAGAGAAAAAACGTAGACAGAAAGTCACAGCCGCAAAGACAATGAGAATAAACACAATGAAGCTGCAAAAGTAAGCACTATGTAATGTAACAAAATATTGAATATACAATATACAACATCTTTCCAATCAATATTCCACAATACACAATGTATTTGATACGCAAATTTTGTATAATATACAGTACAAGAAGGGGGACCCGCGATACTCGCGGGGGGGGGGGGGGGGGAAAACCCAAGGGAGAAGAATGGCCAAGCCGTTTCCCCGCACCCCTCCCCCTCTCTGGTGGCGATGCGGGGAAAGACGTTCTAAGAGCATGTGCAGGGAACGCTCTTTTACTTTTGGGGGATTTAAATATCCCCCTATATTTTTTCCCTACCTTTTAGATTTTTGCGCTGCCCCAGATGTGCAGAAAAATCTCCCTGCCCCCCAGGTGCCCCTGATGTGCGGATTTAGATATCTGCACGCAGGGGGTGCCTTTACTATTAGATATATAGATAACACGTAGAACAGGTAAGGAATGGGTATAACAAGCAAGTAGAAAAATGGCAGTAAGAAAACGGTTTGTAGGGGAAAAACCGGTTGCTTATTGACGAAAATCTCTGGAGTCAAGTTCCGTTTCGAAGAGACTTCCTCTGAACAGTGTCGATATTCTTGAAGAGCATTAAGCATAAGCAAGATGTAAATCTTGATATCAATGACAATAATCACTCCATCACAGTAGTATCCAGATCCATGGTCTAAAGAGAAATCCTTCAAACGGGCAATATTCACTAATGGAACCGGAGATTTTCGTCAACGAACCACCATTTTTTCCTACAAACCATCTTCTTACTACCATTTTCCTACTTGCTTGTTATATCCATTCCTTCCTTGTCCTACCTGTTATACTGTATGTCATACAAAATTCGCTTATCAAATATGTTGTGTATTGTGGAATACTGACTGGAAAGATGTCGTATATTGTATATTCAATATTCTGTTACATTATATAGCGCTTACTTTCGCAGCTTCCTTGTGTGTAGTCTCACTGACATTAAAAGCCTGGCAGAAAAGTATGGTGTTTTTTTTCTGTTTTGTGATGTTGCCAAGACCGCAGGACAGCCCTCCCCCCCCCCCCCTCAGGATTTTCCTCACACAGAGTCTCATTCACGCAAGGCCAGTACCTATCCAAAGGAGGCATAAGGCATGTGCGGTTTCTTTGCACAGTTTAAATGAGATGCTGCGTGTGGACAAAGGCCCATGGGGTGAGCTCTTTTCCCTCACCAGTCACGTTTAACATCAAGGCTTAAATAAAAAAAAGAGGCAAGAGATACATCCAGACGGGCCTCTTCACTAAATCAAAGGCACCCACCCCCCAGAGGGCTGGGAGCAGAGCCCGGGAGTTCCACCGCACCACAAGCCCCGGAGACGATCACTACCTGGGACTGTGGAAAGACCCCTGCCTGGTCGGCCACTTACCCCGGGCGGTCTGTTCCACGAGGAGCTGCCGAGGGGTTTCCGGCCCCTTCCCACTCGCTTCCGACCCCTGAGAAACAAGGACAGTCAGATCAATAGCGCTGGAGCAGAAATGGTTCTTGTCCATCTCCAGTTTAAAGGACCAGGCAGGAGGTGATGGGGAAGACCTCTGCCTGAGACCCTGGAGAGCCATGAAGTGCACCTGTGGTTCAGTGGCAGAGGCTCTGCCTGACATGCAGAAGGTCCCAGGTTCAATCCCTGGCATCTCCAATTTAAAGGACCAGGCAGGAGGTGATGGGGAAGAACTCCACCTG